TCAATACCTCTCTTATTAAAAGAGAAGAATAATTCGTTACCTAACCTAAGATCACCGTATCTTGAGATTCTTGAGTGTTTTTTTTTGTTTTTAATGTTTATTTAATCCTCCGTACTTTATCTCGATGCTCCGTCCTTACACTTCTTTATCTTCAAGTTTGGAAGTAATACCTAATACCGCTGGTATAAATTCAGTTAGTTACCACCACGTTCAATATGGTCGAGGTACTTCTGCAAGTGAAGTTCAGTCTATACCCATAGAAAGAATATGTCCCAGCGTGTGCTGTAACAGTTTAATATTTGTTTTTTTTTTGGCGATACGATCTTGAAGTAGTGGTATTTTTAAATTACATATGGTATTGTGTTGACATGGTATTTTATTTTTACATAGAAATGTTTCCACCTCTCGCCCTTTGAACGAGATTTAATTAGAACACTTTGTTCCTGAATCTTTAAAGGATAGAATAAACATGAATTATTTCGCGGTGAAAATTCTGATATAGATTTTAATTATGTTGAAATTCAAACTGAAGCCGAAATTGAGCAAAGTAGCGAAGAGAAAACTGAAGAAAGACCTCCAAAGACTAAGAGGTTGCCAGTCGTAAAAAGAAAAAGCGGACACAAGTGAAGTTTACCCGAAAATCTCGGATTTGTTTACCAGTTTTATATATAGTTTAACTAAATGATTACATTTATTTAGATTAAATTTAATATATTCGTTTGTGATACAAATTGTCTTTTACCTTTTTAAGTCAATAAAATAGCATTTTAGCCATCACTTTTTTGGTACATATGTTTATTGGGATCTAAGTTACCATAAAAAAATTGTTTTGAGTTTTAAGTTCAATTCTTGTGTATAAATAAGCATGGGACATCATATATCCCAGTGCGTGTAGCGGAATTGGACAGCTCCCAATTTTATTAAAAGACCTGAATTTTGAATTACTATTATTATTATTCAATAATTGAAATTTTGAGGGACAAATTCTTGATAAAAATTAAGTGTGGGAACGGAGGATTAAAAAATGTTTTGCATAAAGAACACAATTAAAAATTATTTATTTTAGCTTGATGGCAACTGGTATATTATCTTAACTACGCCTGACTGTTTAAATTACAACAGTATTGGTTAGAATAAGTAATAGTAATCTTATTTTGATTAAACATGTGATAATCGCTTTGAATGTTTTCGTTTATGTAGTAGAATTATTAAATCTTACAAATACATCAACTTGATAGGTTTAGAAAGTACCTACAGATCATACATTTAGCTTGTTGCACGTTTAGAAATTAGAAATCAATTTAAAATTTACTTTAAGAGATGGAATTGTACATGGGCAATGGGACACAATAAACAAATACAATTTTTAATTTGTTTTTATTTATTTTAAATTAGTAGGTATCTATAAAATTAAAAATTTATTTAGAATATCCTAATTTTTCATGTTAAATTTGTTTTTTCCATTTAAAATATATATAAAAAATGTAACAAAAAGTCATATTGATATAAACAAAAAAAAAACAATCCAGTTCTGAACAGAATTGATCACAACATCAACTTCAATAATTTATTTTAAAGGATAATTTGATGTTGTACAAAGAATATACATTCACAGTAAGTGTTCAAAATGTTCACCACCAGCTTCTATGCAAGCATTTACCCTTCTTTTCATGTTTTTGAACACATTATGCAGTTGCTCCTCAGTTACACTTTCAATTTCATTAACTATAGCTTGCTCCAATTCATTCACATCATGCAAACGATTTCTGAATACTTTATTTTTTATATGACCAAATAAAAAGTAGTCAGGAGGTGTGAGGTCTGGAGATCTTGGAGGCCATAATCCTTTACTAATAATTCGGTCATCAAAATATTCTTCTATTAGGTCAATAGTAGCTCTAGCTGTATGAGCTGTTGCTCCATCTTGTTGAAAATAATCCAATTGTAACTCGTCATCCTGTAGCTGTTCAACAAATTCAAGAAAAATATTTCGATAACGTTGGCCATTAATTGTGTCATAGAAAAATATGGGCCCTATTATTCTTCTTCTTGAAATTGCTATCCAAATACCAACTTTTATGGGATGTAGACTTGTCTCCACAAATGAATGAGGATTTTCAGTTGCCATGTTCGATAATTTTGACTATTGACATATTCTGATAAGTGAAACCATGCTTCATCAGTAAAAAAAGTTTGATCCAATAAGATATTGTCATTTAATTGCTCATTGAACCATCGACAGTATTCCATACGTTTAACAAATTCACCAGGAAACAATTGTTGCACTACTGAAACCTTATAAGGATGCATTGATAGATTTTTTTTTTCAAAATCTTATGACTAGTTCCTACAGATAAATCTAAAACGATGAAATTAGATTATAAGAGAGTCAACCTCCCAAACACTGTTCTTACCTGCTTGAGCTGCTAACTTTTTTACTGATTTAGTGTGACTTTGCTCCATGCGAATTCGCACATCTTGAACAACTTCTTTGGTTATTACTGTGGGCCTTCCAGGCCCCTTTCCTTTACAAATGCATTTTTTCGTTTCAAAACGTTGAACAAGAATATGTCTATGATGACGAAAACTATCATGTTCTATTTTTACAGCTGGAAAACGTTCCTCAAATTATTCAATGCAACTCTGAATTGAATATGACCAAGTTCCATCATCATTTCGAGATCCACTTCTATAATGTGCCATTAAAATAAAAGAATCTTGTTCCGGTGTAAACATTTTGAGCTAAAAATTATATTGTCAATAAACTTGTATAAAAGTAAATAAATTTACACTTACTGGCAAAAAAGAATGAAAGCACTAATGAGCTCTAAAAACAACTGATTGGTTTATTATTATTTGAGGAAAAATTGAATAAAAGCGTGTTGACAAAATGCAAAATCAATAACCTTTAAATAATATTAGGCATTCCAACGACCTGTCAAACAATAGGTGCCAGTGGGAAATTCTTGTATATTTAAGGGGGTAGCGACATAGTCTTGCAACTTGGACGCTATTTTTATTCGAAGTAGTACTCGCCAAGCCTGCCAATTTATGAAGAAATGTATAGATGTGTTTTTTAAATATTATTTTTATTGTGTTTGACATAAAATATTTAAATGTAATCCATTATTCATGATTTTACGTAAAGTAGATAGAATACACCACATGTCGCCACCCTTAGATATACCAAACCTGCCCACTGGTAATTCATTTGTTTGGAATGCCTAATAAATATACCCAAAAACCCAAATGAACGCTAATAATATTTTTGACAGTATTGACAACGACAGTTGATATATAAGGGACCAAATCAGGCCCTTTCGCTGTGTTTTTGATGCTATCAGATCACGTGGGTTTCGGGTATTGTTGAAGACCTGGTAGAAGTAGAATAAAAACAGTACATGGTCTGGTTAATACGTATAAATTACTTATACTAATAAAGAACACCTAAAATTACATTTTTCCTTAATCACCAAGAAATGATGCGCCATAAAAAACAAAAAGAAAAAAGGATAGGAAAAAAACACAAAAACGACAGAGCCTTTTTACATACCAAAATCTGATATTATATTCATTGTTTTTTTATACATTTTATTAATATAGTCTATAACAATTGCTAGTTTTAACATATTCAAGAGGGGAACATACTTTCGGCCTTAATTTTCCAAACAAAAGTGGAGATCTGGGATTTTTTGCAGCAAGCTACTTGAAGTATTTATTACTTTATACAAAAAAAGCATCATTGTGAGTTTACAACTGCTTGTTAATGATATATTATTAAATTCTGCCCTTAACATAGATGATCTTATAATTGTTTAATGCGGCTACAAATGATATTTTTTAAAATACAAATATCTAAGAAACTTGGTCTGGGTTTCAATTGGCAATAAATATTTTTTGGTTCATCTTCCCACAAAAGACATGCAAACTCTAATTTAGGCTTAATTGACACATTGTATAGAATTTTAATAGTTTTTATACAAAAAAAGGAAGTTTGTCTATAAATAAATCCCAATGAATGATTTGCGCTATTTACTAATTTACTGATATGTGAAGCAAAACGAAATTAATTGCCATATATAAAACCCAATTCGTTAACTTTATTTAATTTGTTTAAATTATTTGAACGGATTAGATAATCAAAATGTATAGTTAGTTTTTTACGAGAGATGGACATTGTACAATATTTATTCTCATTAAAATTTAATTTGTTCTCAATACTCCATTTATAAATGTTAGTGATATCCTTCTGCAACATTACACAGTCTCTAACTGTTTCGATTTCTTTAAATATTTTTAAATCGTCCGCAAATAATGAATAGTCCGAAAAATTAATGCATTCTAGAAGATTATTTATAAATAAAATTAAAAATAATGGTCCCAAATTAGACCCTTGCGGAACCCCTGAGTTAGCATGAACCTTACTGGATGTATTCCCATTATGCCTTACTATAAATTGTCTATCCTGGAGATAATTTTTGTTAAGCTCTAACAAATTAAACGAAAATCCAAATCAATGTAATAATGCTAGTGGTATAATAAGATTAACTATGTCAAAAGCTTTCTGAAAGTCAGTATAAATTATGTCATTGCCTTTCCTCAAAAACTTGACTTACAGATTCGCTTAATAATAGTAAGTTTGTATTTATAGATCGCCCTGATACAAATCCATGTTGTTGATCGAGTATACTGTTTTAGACATGATTGTAAATCTTAATATACATAATTTGTTTAAAAACACATTATTGAAACACCCCTATAATTCTCAATATTTTTTTACTGCTTGTTTGATATATTATTGGTTTACAGTTGATTGGAGAGTGCTTGGTTTTAATACCATTAAAAATATTCTAAAAGCTCTTTGAAGCTCATATTCCCATTAAGATCGACACAAAGTACACCAGTGGCGTATCCATGCGTTTTTATTGTTTGATTTAATTTAATTTGATTTTTTTTTTGTATGTTTCAGGTACACTTTTATAGCGGATGATAGGTTTCAGGCATTTTTCGTAGAAGCAACCGATACGTGGACGCTGCAAGTCAAATATGTACAAGCCAGAGACGCAGGACAATATGAATGTCAAGTCAGTACAGAACCAAAGATGAGCCATTTTATTAACCTCAATGTAGTTGGTAAGTTGTTGATCTTTATTTTTCCTTACCCATACAAAAAGTGAATTACCGCATTCATAAAACAAGAAACGGTTTTTTATTCAAATCTTTTCTGCAAAAAAAAATTAAAAGTCGCCCCTGGCATTTTGTTCTAAATTAGCGATATCCTGTTTCGTGTTCGGCATCAATCATTGCTATTTTACAGCAACTGCATATAAATTACATTTCTAAGCATGTTCCAAATGTAATTATTCTCAATTTGCTCGTTATTACATTCATAATTCCAAGGCTCCCACGCTTTTTCCTCTTCTTTGGGTACATACTTTTTTCTCCTCCAATAGCAAAACCCCGGATTAAAGTGAATATTGTACGGGAGTTCTGAGGATAAACCAGGCACCATAAGCCACGTTTCCGCTTTTGAAATAGATTATTATACATGGCTGACTTCTAATATCACAGAAAATAATATTTAAAATGAATATTTGAAATGAAATTCACCCTAAACAAACTACTTGTATTATGTTATTTACTTTGCTTCACTCATACCCAAGATCTTATATTCTCGTAGTTATTGACCAAAATTTTAAAGGGTTATATATCATGAATGCGTCTAGTTTAATCGATTAAAACCTATACTATTTAGTTCAAATTTTTATTCACTCAAGTCAATTAGGTACTAAGCAAAAAATTTTGGAGCATACAGTTTATTGGGTATATGTTAAGATTATATCGCAATTCAAAAATTAGTTTAAATGTCACTTAATGCATTTAATCGATTATATAAACGAATCCCGCGTTTCAAATTTTTCCTTTCCGATTGTTATTTTTAATTTAAGGAAAATCATCAATACTAATTTATAAATCTATCAATAAAACTACTTGAGATGTATCCATTTATTCGCTTTGCAATCAAATCCAACAAGTGGTAGCAGAGCATAGTTTATGTTATCGAGGATTTTAATTAAAAACAGAAAAAAATCAGTCAAAAAATGCCGATTTTTACATACCGTATAGAATCGCTTGGAAAAGCCCCGTTCAATCAATCCGTTTTAATTAAAATTAAACTTGTAATATGATACTTGATATTTTATCTATTTGTTATAGTGTGTTAAAGCTCTATTGATTTTGGGCGTGGGTCAGGTTATTAAATAACTCGAATTACTTTGAAAAAGAAGTTGGGTACCACTATATTTAAAACTTACTATACTTGACTTTAGATTAGTGATAAAAATATAGAAAATCACTAACCACTAACAAATTATATTTAAACCAAGTTTTAGATAAGGTAGAAGCAAATTCTAATTCACATAGTTTTACTAAATTCAAATTTAGGTGATTTATTTAAAAGCACACTTATTTTTTGTTCAAATTAGGTAATATAAGGAATGTTATTTCGTGGTATTCTTCAGGCCTTATTCTTAATTATGGATCTTCTATCGATGAACCAAACCACGGTTTTCAGATTGTACCAAACTTCTAGGTATAAAAACCATAAAACTTCTAGATATAAATCGCAATAAACTGTCTAGATATAGATCCAAATAAACCTCTTAATATAGATCCTATTAAACCGTCTAGATATAGCCAATGCTAAAAAGAAAAGGTTAAAATGTTAAGAAAGGAAATAGGAAATTGGAACAGGATTTAAATAAAATGCTTTTAACTAATAAATGAACAATTTAAAACTATTAAGTGAATAATTTCACAGAGACTACAATTAATATGAAAAGAAAAAATCCAATTTAACATATTTAAACATAGTAAAGCATAATATCTTATTCCAAAAAAAATAATATATAAATTATCCATGTGTGTTACTCATTGTTGATAGGTATTGAGGTTATGTCGGAACTTGACAATTTATTTAAAAAAATATATATTTAACAATATATTAGCATTAAAACTTACCTTATAAAATCAGACGGCAAATAAGAATATTAAAAATCAGTTAGTTCATCGGATGACCTAGATATATTGAAATGAATGTGATCTGGTTGGCATAAACGACGAATGACATTTGAGTAGAGGTGAATGTGTCAAAATAACGAATAATGGTTCCAACCGTTACAATCTCTGGTACAAAAGTTAAGCTAGTGGGCAGTACTGAAGCAGAAGAAAATATGAGCAAGATGGCCAAATAGCGCGTTTAGAAATATACTCCGAATTCAAACAGAAAAGACGTGTAGTACTATTATAATCGAACTAGTCCGTTTCTTATCCTTCTCCTTTTTTTTCGAGTAGCATATGAATGATGGCCTAGCAATGTCTATCACCTTCCAAGTCTTTTGACCTTAAGTGGCATAGAAACAGGGTCCTTCATTTAACTCAGTCAATTTTAAATTGGAACAATATTTTTACAACCAACTATGATTTTGGTATTATAGTTATGTTCAGCTCATAATCTATGACCCCAAATCATAGCCTATTTTCGGTACTCTGTTGTAACTGATTAGACATTGTCACTTATCAGCTATGTCTTATTAGTTATCACTTATCAGTTATTACTTATCAGTTATCACTTATCAGTTATCTTTCATCAATTAAAACTCCTCAATTATTACTCATCAATTATCACTCATCAATTATCACTCATCAATTATCACTCATCAATTATCACTCATCAATTATCACTCATCAATTATCAGTTATCACTCATCAGTTATCAGTTATCAGTTATCAGTTATCAGTTATCAGTTATCAGTTATCATCAGTTATCAGTTATCAGTTATCAGTTATCAGTTATCAATCAGTTATCAGTTATCAGTTATCAGTTATCAGTTATCAGTTATCAGTTATCAGTTATCAGTTATCAGTTATCAGTTATCAGTTATCAGTTATCAGTTATCAGTTATCAGTTATCAGTTATCAGTTATCAGTTATCAGTTATCAGTTATCAGTTATCAGTTATCAGTTATCAGTTATCAGTTATCAGTTATCAGTTATCAGTTATCAGTTATCAGTTATCAGTTATCAGTTATCAGTTATCAGTTATCAGTTATCAGTTATCAGTTATCAGTTATCAGTTATCAGTTATCAGTTATCAGTTATCAGTTATCAGTTATCAGTTATCAGTTATCAGTTATCAGTTATCAGTTATCAGTTATCAGTTATCAGTTATCAGTTATCAGTTATCAGTTATCAGTTATCAGTTATCAGTTATCAGTTATCAGTTATCAGTTATCAGTTATCAGTTATCAGTTATCAGTTATCAGTTATCAGTTATCAGTTATCAGTTATCAGTTATCAGTTATCAGTTATCAGTTATCAGTTATCAGTTATCAGTTATCAGTTATCAGTTATCAGTTATCAGTTATCAGTTATCAGTTATCAGTTATCAGTTATCAGTTATCAGTTATCAGTTATCAGTTATCAGTTATCAGTTATCAGTTATCAGTTATCAGTTATCAGTTATCAGTTATCAGTTATCAGTTATCAGTTATCAGTTATCAGTGTTATCAGTTATCAGTTATCAGTTATCAGTTATCAGTTATCAGTTATCAGTTATCAGTTATCAGTTATCAGTTATCAGTTATCAGTTATCAGTTATCAGTTATCAGTTATCAGTTATCAGTTATCAGTTATCAGTTATCAGTTATCAGTTATCAGTTATCAGTTATCAGTTATCAGTTATCAGTTATCAGTTATCAGTTATCAGTTATCAGTTATCAGTTATCAGTTATCAGTTATCAGTTATCAGTTATCAGTTATCAGTTATCAGTTATCAGTTATCAGTTATCAGTTATCAGTTATCAGTTATCAGTTATCAGTTATCAGTTGTTATCAGTTCGTTATTAGTTATCAGTTATCAGTTAGTTATTATTTATCATTTATCACATCATTTGCCCGTTAAGAATCTCAAAGAGGCCGATAATTTACTATATTACATTTACCGCCTATTTTAAAAACAGGTGTAGAATTTCACCAAATCATCCAAATATGGCCGATAAGTAATCAACAAATATTATTTCACCTGTTTTCGAACAAAGTTTCCCATCATAAAACTTTTATATATACGGCCCCACATTTCATTTTTATACAGTTATATATGAGTACAAAACCAAATAAAACTCATTTTAAAGGCTGTAAATAGAGAAATTCTTGTACTTCCCATTAAATCATACTTTATTAAACTTAAAATTGAGCATGAAGTTTTTCCGCGAACTTCATTGAATAGTTTCCGTAATTAAATTTCAGGATTTATGATATCTCTGAGTCTTTTCATTACTATTGAACGTTAAACAACTATTTTATACGGCAAATTTAGAGTTTCAAATTTGCTAATAAATTAAATTAGTAGCTCAATGTGCAACTATGCACACAATTCCGAATAAAGCGACATTAGAATGGATATGCTGTATTAATAATCACAATTACGAAGCTAAAACTGGAAAACTGTAAAACTTTTGATTATATCTTTTGGAGCGGTCTCAAAAGCTTTCGCGGTAATCTTAAACTTTGCTTTTGTGAAAAACATGAAAGAGGATGGCTGCTAAAGTACATAGACAGTCGAGATTGAAATACCCACATAGTTTTCAGTCTCGCGTAATCCTTTGAGGGTTATCGATAATAAATCGTTTTATACGATTGAACCAAGAGATTTAGATTAGGTAAGAAATGAGTGATATGATCACATTACCTTTCACTGTGACCCAGATGGATAAATTATGGCTCATGCCCAAATTATAGTTCACCCTACAAACCTTTTGATGAATGCCATGGTTCAGTTAAGTGAGACTTGTTTATAGTCTTTAGCATTTATTTTACCTAGATTTGGTAAATGCAGTAGATCAGTTTGGGGCTGTTCTCCATAATATGGCTTTGTTTAATGAATTTTTTAAGTTAAGAGTTCCAAATAAGTGCATCATCGAAGAAAAGTTTAAATGTTCCATCTTCTTCGCAAAAAAATGGATTCCTTAGCCAACCTGGCTGTTGAAGGTTGACAAAGGCGACGATAACCGTTTTTCTGGGGATTACAGGTCTCTCACACCAAGGATAATTAACCTAAGTGTACCAAGTCAACCAATTCATTGTATATTCTATTTTAACATATCATTCTCCGGTCCTTTTTACCACCATTTTTCTTTGGGCATTTCTTTCAGTCTGTCTATTATTGATTTCCAATAAGTGACTTTCATGTCCTCCAAACAGTCCCAATACAAATTTTGAGTACATATATTTTTTCAGTCCCGAAGATCGAGATCGAAGGCGAGTCCGATATCTACGTGAAGCGTGGGAGCACGGTCCAGCTCAAGTGCGTCATCACGCAGTCCCTAGAGGAACCCGCCTACATATTTTGGTACCACGACGGGGAACGAGTGCTCAAGTACGACCAAAGTGCCATCGACATACGCATGTCGCGCAAAGGCACTGACACCACCATTAGCACCATGACCATTTTTCGTACCAGACCAGAGGATGCCGGGAACTACACGTGCAGTCCGTCCAATTTGGACTCTGCCAGTGCGTATTTGCACGTCATAAATGGTGAGTTTTGTGTCTAATTGGACAAACAGGTGGTATAATATGTTTAAGTTCTCGTTTCGACACTGTACAACATCTTGTTATATCTTTATGTCAATGAATTTGTTTCAGGTGGAAAAATTCATGATATTTTATTGGTTATTTTATAATTTTGTTGCAGGTGCCAAATTATTTTCATTGGATAATCTTGCCTCACGAGATTTAACAATAATCTGTTTGTTTCAGGCTAATTTTTAAGTTTTTTTTTTAGTATTGATGTATTTCTTTGCAACCTAAGTATTTCAGCATTTGAATATTATGAAGACACTAGTTATCTAACCATCTGAAGACGTTGTCCATTATGATATGATCGATGGAGTGCATGCCTCTAAGTCAATCAATTCTTTTTGTATGAGAAAGAACAGCTGAAGAAATAAGCGATTGTGTATGATTGAATTATGAAAAAGTTGCACAATATATAACTATTTACTTATCTGTTTGTTTTCTTCACACCCCTACTATTATGCACATGAAGAGAATGTTCGGTGAACATTTTCAATCAAGTAATTATGAGAAGATTACGTACTTGGATTGAAGAATTTTAAATTTTATCTAGAGATCAAGCTGAATTTAGGCCCGCCAGAGGTTGTATTGAGAGAAAATGTTTATACAGAGAATGTTTAAGAAAACGACGTTCCTTTGCTATTTTGTTGATTTTAAACAAGTATTTGCCTAATTAAACCATCTATTATTATAGTGTAAATTGTTTAACACAGGTGTTGCGTGATATGCATCAAATTATTCAACTGCTTTCGTAAGAATTAAATGCAATCATGTGACTACCGGAGTATTGCAGGGCCAATGTTTAAGCCCACTTTTATTTATTTTATTTATAGCTGATTTTTTTATTCAAACACAGCTTAGCTTTTAAATGTGACACTATAAGCGATGAGGGTGTCCTATTTTTGATACTTTTGCAAGGTATCTCCGTTTTTTTAAAGATAGAGGGTTGCAGTTTTCGCGATACTTTGCTAATTTTTTGTAAAGCTAAAGATTTTGGGATCTCCATTATCCTTCAACTTATCGAAAAGGTAAAATAACATTATTATAGATTTTTTCGTAGGCAGTGGTGTAGATAATTTTGGTTACGTATTTATTATTTTTGAGTTATAAAGCAAACTTATGTTTTTTTAAATGTTGATAAACTATAAAATTTTTTTTTTTTACCTTTTTAAAAATACATAATAGTATGCACTTTTTCTCAGAAACACGCAAATAAATGACAATTTTCTAAAATTAAATGCATAATTTAATAGTAGGCCATGGATATTGTTTATGACAAGAAATTATTGTACCAAAAACTGACGCTAAGAGGATCTTGAAGTAATATAAGTATCGTCCATACAAATTTAATATAGTGCAACATTTGCATCCTGGCGATAAATTTATTTTTAATAAAAGTAGATTTGTCAGTCTCTAAACTCATTCCTTAGTAATTTCATCAGGTTATGGACCCAGGATGCGTTACAATCCAAAGAAACTAGACACACTCTTTTGCAATTAAATTCTATAAAATATGGACAAGTTTCCAAAGATAAAGAAATTTCATGGATTATCTAACTTTCACTCCTGGCGAGCAATGGCATTTGCTTACATGGATTTATATTATTCTATACAAAATAGTCAATGGTGTAGAAAATAATCCTTCATTAGATGTTCTTGAGTATAATACAGATCAGAAAAAATAATTACGTTTCTAAATGTGAAGACTGGAGATATCGTCATTCATTATCCAGGGCTTTTAATGTGCATACGAACATCGCTTCTCAAATTACTTGCTACACAGATTCTTGGGATATGTGGAGAGTTTTTAGGGATCTATTTGACAGAAAAAATTAATATTCTCTACACGCTCTCGTAAAATCTATAGTTGGAATCAAAGTACAGGAACATAGTGCCAAATACAAATAATTGTGGTCATGTTTAGTAGAAAGAACTTCAGTTACTTCCAATGACGAACGAGATTCCCTAGAAGCTGCATTACGTCCGCTAGCCAATTCAATGAAGGCAAATGGATCACTTTTTCTCATAACCTTGCCAGAAGAAATATATAACATAATAGACAATCTAAAAACCAAACAAAACTTAAGAGGAAAATTTACATTACAAATTGAAAGACCTGCGGGGCAACGGTAGTTTAGTAGATTTAAAAATTAAAACTTAAGAGTGGAGCCTAAATTCTACAAAATTACTTCCGAGACTAAACAAAATTAGCATTCATTCACAATTTTATCAATTTCATGTAGATACGAGGGATACATATTCTAAACTCTAACGCGCGAAGTTGAGACAAAGGAACCAAAAAATATTCCACAATAGCACAATATAATATGTATTTTACAATAATTATTTGTCTAGGGTAGAAAAGCGTCCATAGTTTAGCAATACATTCGCTTCTGTACCACCGATGTCCTCGATTCAAAAAGCCAAATTTAGAAATACAAAAGGCCAATGTAAACGGACAATAAACGGTCTCATTGACATTTTACTTTTTTTTTAAATCATCTTAGCAATGTGCCACATACATTAGAATAGGGGCTAGACGCGTCGTGTGAGGTTTCTAAACGCACTCCAGCATGAGTGACAATTGACATTTGACATTTGACAATGAAGTTGCCAAAAAAAATGCCAACTAAAGAAATTAAAAGTTTCGTGAAAAATTGTCAAAGGTTGATATTAAAAATAATAAAAGTGGCTTGGTACCACTGAGCAAGCACGGTCAAGTTATGGCGGGACTATGAAGTCTAGAGAGAAGGCGGCGAATCGACAATGGTCAAAGTTCAAATTTCCGTCCTTTTTATAAAGTTCGCGAAATTAACTGTTGTTGGCATGCCGAATAACAACGGTGTCAATTTTCTATGTAAGTCAATGTAAAATGATGTGATTTTTTAAAAACGAATCAAAATAATATGAAAAAAGTACCTGAGCACAAGTAACATGAGTGACAAAAAACATCAAAGCAAGAGTTACATCGTTTCAGATTGTAAAACAGGATACAAATCCAAATGTAAAACTAAAAAAAAACAAAAGGAGAAATCAATTCAATGTCTTTTTAAAGTTTCTAATGTAAGTAAAATAATATATTTATCTTACGGAATGTAGTTTATTTTATTACAAGTTTCTACAATATAAAATTTTAGTCATAGATCCTGACTCACAAACAACAATAATTATACATTAAATTTAGAAAATTTATTTTTTATAGAGTTTTAATGTTAGATAAAGAGTTGCTACTGTTATTTATTTTGTTAAACCCCATTGTAAATGTTTTTTATAGAATACTAAACGCTTAGAACAATGGCAGCATAAATATCGTTTCTATTGCCGATAAAGCATTTTCTAGAGATGACGCTGTTCTACAATTTTAAGAAGATATTATTAAACATTATGAGACTATTTTTACTGATGGCACTGTTAGCAAAATAAAAAGGGGAAAGCTGAAATTAAAGGATAAGGTAATACCATGTACCTATATTCTCAAATCTCCATTTATATTTGTATTAAAACAATAAAAAATCTGTTAACTGTATTTTATTTTGCTCTTAAAACTATATATAGGTTCAATTCAAAAAAATTTTGCCACAAAATTGTACTTATCAAATATCAACATTTAACAAACATTCTCGAATTTGGTCATACCTACCTAATTTGTATTTTATATAGATAAAATTAAATAATTTATCAATTAAAACATGCAAGACTTATTTAGAAATAAATACAACAGTATGTTCTGTGCTTTATTTAGCTGTAAACAAGTTTAGTTTTATTATTTTGACAAAATTATGTATAATTCCCATAAGATTGGTGGGTGGCTCAATGGTAGAGTCTCTGCCTGTGGATCCAAGGGTCCCAGGAATCCCACCGTTGGCCGGAATTTTTTCATTTAATTTAAATATTTAAAATTAATTCTGATGCCTTGGTAGGATTCCCCACTCGACCATTCCCTGTTGAGTTCTAATTAACAGTGCTGTTCCTAAAGTGACGCTGGGAAACAGTTACAAAGCCTACACAGAACACGAGGCTAATGGCCTTAGTAGTCGATGCCGATGACACCAAATTAAAAAAAATCCCATAAGCCTTGTATTTTGAACACCGTATGCATTACTAGCGCCCATGCCGTTAATTATAAAAGCTTACTTAGCGTGCGTTTTTTGGGACCGTATTTTGAGTATGCCGATTCGCCTCCTTATCTCTAGTCTTCATAGGCGGGACTTTAAATCATTAAACAACAAATGATTACAATGAATTAAATAGAATTATAGGTAATACAGTAAATGAAGGTAGAAAAACATGTTTAAAAAAAAATTAAAAATTAAAAAGGTGCCAAGCTGAAAACAGCAGAATTGAGCAGGCCAGCTCCAGCGAAACCGAAGTCGCAGGCAGACCAGCTTTTCCAGCTGAAAAGGGGAGGAAAAACCGTCCTGGTCACGAAATCAACAATCGCTGGAAAATACATGATCAACTCCGCTGCAAAGAAGATTAAAGGCGAAGCTGACTAGGTAACTTCGGACCAACTGTTGCCAATACTCTTAAAGAGAGGAGGACCTTTGCTATTGAGATGAATTTGAGTGTTAACACGTGACATTTGGTTTATTAAACTATATGTGTATTTAAAAGGTCTTAAAGAAGATTTAGTTTAAAGTTGCAATTAAACATATTATGAAGAACAGTAACATTCTCAGAATTAGTGAGGTTATGATTGTTGAATTTAATATGCTGTCCAAAAGTATGTTGAGTATGTTGAGTCTCGTATGTTGTAACTCGTATGTTGAGTCTCTTCTCAATTTTTCCTATATAAGACGTATTACAATCGTTACAGCTTAGTCTATAGATACCATTTCTGTGTAGCAACTCAATTTCATCCTTAGTATGTGATGATAGTTGGCTTTTAATCGAATTAACATTTTTAAAAAAAATTTAATATTGTTGCAATCCTTAAAAACTGCAGCAACATAATTAGAAATTTTCCCAAGATATGGTAGTGAAAAGTATTTAAAATTAGCAGGAGGTTCATTAGTAGGATTAAAAGCAAGTTGGGACCTTTTCTTAAATATTTCTTTTTTTCTTTTTTTTAATAATTTTTTTTTTTGTTTTTGTTATATTGTTAATTTATGCTACAAAGCTGTTGTTACAAACTTGCTGTTATAAAAAACTTTTTATAAAAAGATACCTATATGCAAGGTATCCAATTCGTTAGTAATATGTAACTTTCACTTGTTTATTATTGTTATCCATTGTCTACTATTAAATTATATTTCACTTGTCTGTTCTCCAATAATATAACACTTTGTAGTATATCTCTCGTGATAGCATATTTACACATCCTGCTATATGACGGCACCGGAGTGCTGAAACCTGTTCGCCTGTGTAGCCTACAAGTACGCTACAATAGCTCATTGATTTAGAAACCCATACAAATTTTATGTTATGTGAGACTTTACTTTTCAATTTTAGCTGTGTCCAGGCCGTTGGCGTCTATGCCGGTAGGCGTAGCCAGGTATGGGTTAAAATTTTTTGGTGGCGGCGAAGCTGCCACCCTACGAGAAGTCGTTGCTTTGTTTTCTTCTGGTATATTTTCTTTTTTTTTCATCCCAAAACACTTCAAATGCGTCATTTGAATGACATCATGTCTATTAACGGCATTTTAGTACACGACCGTTTAACGGCAGTTTAAGTACAGCCATTGTTTCATAGAATGCAGATAAGCTTGCTTACTGATTCCAGCAATAAGAGAGGCCTCATGCATTGGTGCCTAAATCAATGAGCTTTTGTAGTGTACTTGTAGGTTACAAAGGCGAACAGATTTCAGCACTCCGGTGCCGTCATATAGGAGGATGTGTAAATATGCCTCGTGATATTGTTGTGCCACAGCGTATATAGAAATGAATTTTTCCCACCTCTCGAAGATGGAACCATCATACGGTTTACTCATTACTTCTCGCTGTATTGTTGTGAACAGTCAAAACATTGTAAAAAACGATGCCGAAAAGGAAAAACAGTCGAAAAAAGGTTTAAGAAATTTGGAAAAGTGATAGTAATAGTGATAGTTCAAATTGTAAGTACAACAGCAATATCTAATAATTTTCCTTTAATTTTTAGATAAGTCGTAAAATTTACAATGTGTTGTCAATTTTCATTTATATTTATACCTAAGCGTCTCAATTCTTAATTTGAAAAATTGATTAAACAAAACATCTAATAAGGCATTCTTATTATTATTTTAAGATGTAACGCAGGTAATTAAATAATTAATTCAAATTTAAACTTTAAGGTTTTTTCTTTCCTTAATAGACAAATTTATGACTTGATCAGAATTATTCGATTCACAGATTCATAAATTAAATAAGAAATAGGTAGTACTATCGACCATATTATTATGGTTAGGTATTCTGTGTTATTATCAAACGCTAGGCGTCTGTTTTTTGTTTTTACTGTCCTTTTTAAAAGAACTGAATAAAGTTACACTTGTAAAGATACCATTTAGGATCCATTAAAGTGTTACGCAGCAACTTCAATCAAATAAAAACTGATAGTGAATTTTGTTATATTTTCTTTGTTTTAATCACCATTGATCTTTCATTTGTATGAAACTTTATATTCGAAAGTTAATATATCTAAAGTGTTGTAAAAAGTATAAATAAAACTCAAAACTCCATTCATTTTATTAGTTTTACATTGAGAAGTTTGTATAACATTTTTTACCTCTCCAGATATTTTTAGTATATTCAGTTAACCCAAGCCATTTGACTTTTCAGACCATTTTCCTCTTGGGATATCGTAGCGGTCATCGTAGCTACCATGTGTCGTGGGTTTTGTCTATCCCTGTAGTTTCTTTTAGGAATCAGTTTTTTGGCCACGTTTATCCCGAAATTTCTGTTTTTCGTTATATCTTTCAGAATCCTCGAGAGTCTATACCTCTTCATTCTGGCCAGGGTCTTCACAGCGTCCACGTGTTTGTGGTGCTCTGGATTAACACCCACAGTATTTAATCCGTCTATTTGTTTTGTATCGAGTACTGTGCGGAATGCCGATACTGCTCTGGACACTCCGACCTACAATGAGAAACAATATACCATTTAGATTTAACGGACATCTAATTTTTTGTTTAAGAATTAAATCCAGATAGGTAAATTTTGAGAAAAAAATGAGCAAACTCTTCAGAAAACATTTACTCCTTTAGCTAATATACAACAGGTATTGAATTATATCCAAAGAGAAATAATAGAAGAGAATGTGGTTTGACAGTTTTCAGTCCAGCATCACGACTACTGCTTAATGCAGCTCACAAAATATACACTACGACTACTTGAAAAACGCAATGTTTACGGATGATTATAGAATGTGTATTTATGGAAAATATAAGGTCTAGAGAAGAGCTGGAGTATATTATGCTGCTTGAATTCGGTCACCTCGGGTTGCTTTTTGGGGTGGCTCAATAATATTTTGAACACGGATTTTTTTAGGCATACACGGATATCGTCCTGATTGTCAGAGGCGTATAAATAACAAGACGATACATAGCAGAGATCCAAGAAGAGCATGTAATGCTATTTGCAGGGTTTGTTATAAGCTGTTTTTGCTAACGCGCGAACACATACGGCAAGGATGGTATTACAGTACCTTGAAGAGGTTGGTATTACAAAACTGGACTGGCCAGCTCAAAACCCAGACCTACGACCAGCTCAAAATGTGTGTACGATGCAGGCCCGACGAGAGGGAGGGACAGGGGGCAAAATTCTTGGGGCCCAGGCACAAAGGGGCACCGGGCACAAGGGGGGCCCGGCAGCTTCAGCAAATGAGACTTTTTTTTTAGAAATTTAACACAGAAAGAACTTGATTTTTATAAAAATGCCTCGCTATTTTCCACAAATCTCCCATCCCTAGTTATATAAGGGGTCCTTGTCAGTGTTTTTGCCCCGGGGCCTACCACGGCTCTCGACGGCCCTGGTATGACGTCGCATACTTCCCCAATAACACGTGATGAGCTCAGATTGGCCTACTTTTCTCCAAGAATATATTCAGATTTCTGTGCCAAATCACATGAGAAGTGTCGTCCAAAATTGAGGTAGTAATACGCCGTATTGAAAGGTGATCCTCGCATTATTTACGTATCTGTGAAAAATTACTGAATTTGCACTATACAAAAGATACATGTAAAAAAAATTAAATCTAGCACAAAATTCAAAAAATTGATCCTGATAGACGACACTGTCAATTCATGCAATCATCGTCTTGTTTATGGTTTTCTATCTTATTTTATTGATACTGTTACCCAATGGGTCAGCACGAATCTTTATAACAAAGCAAATAGAAGAAGAACATGTTCAAGCAAAAAAAAAATTCCTGACATTTACTTATCAAGTTTACTTATTCATTTGATATAGGTACTGGCACAATAATAAATAATAACCAGAAGGATATCTCCGGTCACGTGATCTTCGAGGGCTCGTGACCTTCAAGCACACCTACACCGATATTCTACACCGAAACTTTCAGTGCAGTAGCGACCGGCACATGCCCTGGTTTAGAGTTAAAGTATATAGTTTTTGATGCTATTAAAAAGTTAAGGAATATTGGACTGAACGTTATTGTTACCGTAAGTGATATGGGCTCCAATAATATTCAATGTAAAAACTTTTTGCAAATAACCCCTGAGAGACCTTATTTTATTTTTGAAGATCAAATTTTTTTTTTTATATTCGATACACCTCACCTCATCAAGGCTATGAGAAACATGTTACTGAAACATACTTAGTCATTAGTTACTAGATCAGCGCCTAAACTAACTGATTCGCATATATTTCCTAGTTATTTTTGAAAAAAATAAGGTAAAATATGCAAGTCAGGTATTTAACCTTACAGTTTCAGCAGATTTAAATGTGTACGTCGAATTAGGTAAATTGTCTAATGAAGCCCAGGCAACTGCTGATTTTATTGATGAAATCGACAAATTATTTGATATTTTAAAGTCATCAAAAACATCAGACGGGAAGAAATATAATTTGGCGTTTAAGGGTCTCGACTTTCAACTGACATTTTTAAATGAGATGTTATTGCTGTTGGACAAATTAAAAGTTTTTAATAACCTTGGCGAGGATGTAACTAAAAAAATGAAGTTTATAACAGGTTTTAAAATAACAATTAGCTCCATTCTTCATTTATGGGATTTTCTTAAAACAAAATACGTTTCTTTTTACTAGAAATTTAAACCAAGATCCGTTAGAAAATTTGCTTGGTCTTATAAGACAGCAAAATAGTAATTGTGCTAATCCATTCAATTTCAAAGAACCTTTAGAAAGTTGTTCTGTGTAAAGCTACTCAATTCAGGAACTCAAAACTGCGAGAATGACATGGATAATATGGATAATATCAGATACTCGCAGAAAGTATCTGATGTCATTTAAGAGGATACAAATTCATTCGTAGCTCGTACAGATCCCCATACATCAAATTTGCCAGAAATTGATAGCAATTATCAAAAAGTGTCCACGTTAGAAACGAATTTCGAAAGGTATTTTGTGGGTTTTCTAATGAAAAAATGCCTATCTATACATTTTTGTACAATTTGCGAGGAATATTTAGATTTATTTGGTAACTTAAACATGCCACACAATGATTTTGTAAAATGTATCTCCTTTTTAGAGATAATATTTCAAATAAATTTTGAAACTATTATTATACACAAAAATGTAATAGATACGTTTCAAAGTATTTGTAGAAATACAAGTTTTTCACATTTATGTGAAAAATTTACCACATAATTATTTAATAAAATTATTGGGTAGAGTAAGATTACTTTATCCTCTTAAATGTATTAACCGAAATCTTAAAACTATAAAAGACAAAAAGGTTGTCATTTAGAAAGATAAGTAAATATTTTTTTATATATATAAATCTTTTATTTAAGGTAAGCTGGGGTAAATGTAATAATGGGGTAAATGTATTATTCAGTAATAACAGTTCTGTAGATGTGTTTGAGAGGGCACCATGAGCATGTTTTGTTGTGAGGGAGTATGCTGCTTCTATTCTAGACTGACTACTCTTTGCTGCGACTTGTTAGTCTGTCGTTAAAAACGATCAAAGTCTTAAGTGATTTTTACGCCGCAGTTTTCAGTTCGAGTTAATAAAAGCCATAGCCTATTTCTAGGACTGAGTAAATATTAGACATGTAAGTTTGATCTTAGAATTACACTTTAGGTGGTATGTTTATTGTGTAAAAATGTTTTTAGCAGCATTTTTGTTTTAGTAATGATTATTGTTGATGGTACAATTGCCCCTAAAAAAATGTGATTCGGGCTAATGTAACATGTTATATAGGGGCAATTGCAACAGCTCATATTACATTTACCCCTAAAAAAATTGATAAATTGTAAAGGTTGCTGCTCCAATAGTATCTTCTTCGTTTTAGGAGTCATGGTTAGGAACTATATTAAAAAGACCAACGGCCCTACCTATAATGAAAATACCTTAAAAGAAGCCATTTTGGAAGTAAAAGCAGGTCGTTGACTACTGGGAAAGCTGCAAAGGTATTTAATGTACCTTATTCAACAATATACACTAACTGTAAAGGTTCCCGCGGGCAAATAAAAAAGGAAAAGGGTGTCGCACGATTCTTTCACCCCAACTTGAACAGACGTTAGCCACCGGACTGAAAACACTAGAAAAATGGGGCTTTGGTTTGTCGAGGAAGGAGGTGCTACACCTTGTGGGACAATATATGAAATCAAATAATTTACCAACCCTCTCCAAAAATCAGTCACTAGGACAGGACTGGTTTATTGGATTTAAAAAACGACATGACTTAAGCATAAAAAAGCCACAAAATATGGAGTATGCCAGGCAAAACGCTGCAGATGCTTTTACAATTTTTGAATATTTTGATCTTCTCGAATCAACTTTAGACAACCTTCAAATTAGAGACAAGCCATCTAATATTTGGAATCTTGACGAATCCAGTCTGTGTATTGATCCTACCAAGACCCGTGTTGTGGGGGAAAAGGGAAAATCTGCAACCAGAATTAATAGTGGCCCAGGGAGAGAAAACACAACAATTTTATTAATGGCGAATGCTGCAGGCGAAAAGGCTCCGCCACTAATTACCTATATAGGATTACACATGTGGGATCAATGGTGTGCTCCGCAATGATCTGGTTACCCTGGAACTGTTTACACGGCATCAAAAAAGGGCTGGATGGAGACAGATATATTTAAAAACTATTTTCAGCGCACTGTTTTACCAACTCTGGGTGAAAATCGTCCTGCTATTATCATATATGATGGACATTCAACTGATATTAGCCCTTAGGTAATACAGTTAGCAATTCGAGAAAATATAACAATTCTCAAATTACCTCCGCATAGCAGCCATTTGCTTCAACCGTTAAACTTGTCAGTATTCAAGCCTTTAAGACTAATGGGATGAAAAACTAGTATCATGGCAACGCTAAAATATTGGACGTAAGCTACCAAAATCTCTATTTTTAAAGTTTTTAGGGGACACCTGGAGACTTCTGTCCCCTGAGGTGATACAGATTGATTTTATAAAAGGAGGAATATACCCATTTGACAAAACAGTCATACCAGATGAAAAATGAAAATAAACCGACCAATTCTGATAAAACAGAAAACATCCAGATTATAGGATCTGTTAACGAAACAAGTAATTTAGCTTCAAATACAGAACCACTGCCGTCAACGTCGTCTACTGCAGATACCATCAAAGATGGAGCAAAAAAACCTTGAAACATTGCTATTGGAAATAATCAAGCAAAGCCCTCGACCAGAAAGTGTACGGCGCAAGAGAGTAGGTACAGGCTCAGAAGTCTTAACGTCTCAAGATGTGTAAGAGCGTTTACAAAAAACTAAAGAGGGTAAACATCTCAAAAAACAAAACACAGTTAAATCAAGGTGCCGCAAGAAGGAAGATATTAGTAGCAATGATGAAGACGAAGAGGAAGAAATAGAATACAGAGAATCAGATAATGAAGGGGAGTTCCTACAGAATATAGTGCAAGAAAGGGAAATTTAGGACAGAGAAGAAAACGAATTAAATCAAGAAGTAAAGGAAATTAAATGGATTTTAGTAAAGTACACGTCAAAGAAGAACACGAAGCACTATGTTGGCCGTGTAACACGACGTGTGAAAGATGAATGGGAAGTAAAATTTTTAAAACGAATTTCAACTAAACTACAAGATACGATAAGATTTGATTGGCCTCCTGAAGACGATATTGACACGGTAAACGAAGCAGATATTGCATTGACTTTGCCAGAACTACTCGAAAATAGAAGAGGGTTACTGTATTTTAATATTTTTTTGGATGGATTTAATATTTAAAATGTTTCTTATAAACATCTTCTGTAACTTGAATAGAGTAACCTTTTTGTTTTATGTCTTACAATTTAAACTACTTACTTAGTTATTTCATGTCAAAATTTTAGTTAACATACAGGGTGTACCAATAAAAACTCACAGGCCGGGAAAAAATGCATTTTTAAGCAAATTTTGTTCTATGAATTAATTCGATAAGTCTAGCCATTTTTGATATACAGAGTGGGTCACTCAAAACAGTTTCATCCTATTTTTCAGCATTATTCATTGAATTTTAAGAAAATGCTAAAACAGGTCGATTTTTACTCCAAATTAAAAACATTTTTACAATACAGACATCTGTCATATGTCAACCCCCTCCCTTGCACTTCACCAACACCTTAATTTTAAATAGGTAATGCACCAAGCGTGGCACATCATTGAAAAGGTAATTTAATGGGGAATATTTCTGTACATTGCGTTACTTTAATTTTATTGCCCTCTAGCGGAAAAAAAAAACTATTACGTAATATAGAGTGTGACACTACAATGTGTAGTACATCATTAAAAAGGTAATTTTATGGGGAATTTATAAATATGATTGTTCATTGTGATACTTTTAATTGTACCGCCCTCTGTCGAGATAAAAAAACTACGTATTATAAAGTGTGACACCTTATTTGAAAGCAAATTCAATTATTCATTTAATGCACTACATAACATTAATATAAATATCCTCCATATTGCACTTGCAATAGTTTCAAAATTAGTCATGCATTATATTATTGCTAACTTTATTTTGTTGCAAGTGCAATATGAAAACATTTATATTAATGATATGTGGTGCATTGAATTAGTAAATAAATTAGCTTTCAAATGAAGTGTCACACTTTATAATACGTTACAGGTTTTTTTATCCCGATAGAGGGCGCTAAAATTAAAAGTATCGCAATAAACAGTCACATTTATGACTTCTGTACAAAATTACCTTTTCAATGATGTGCCGTACATGGTATATTCCTTATTTAAAATTAAGGGGTTGGAGAAGTGGAAGGGAGGGGGTTGACACATGACAGATATGAGTATTGTACGAATGTGTTCAATTTTCAATAAAAATCGACCTGTTTAGGCATTTTCTTAAAATCCAATGATTAATCCCGAAAAACAGGATGAAACTGTTTTGAGTGACCCACTGTGACACATTAGTTTTTAGAACAAAATCCGCTTAAAAATGCATTTTTTACAAGATGCGCTATATAAGAAAAAAAAAATTGTACGCAGCGCCATCTACATTTTGACCTATTTAAAATTAATTTATATATAAAACTGAAGCTCTCTTAGCGCTCTATGAACTGGCTTTTACAGAATTAAAATATCTCTATTAGTTTCCAAAATATCCGGCCTGGCAGTTTTTATTGGTATACCCTGTATACATCATATGTTAATTTTATAAATATTTCGGTGTTTTACTTGAGGTTTAGCTGCTAAAATGTTTAATAAATCAGCTTTTTTAGGTTGCATTTGGAAGGGTTGCAATTTTTTAAGGAAAAGAGTTTGTTGGAGGTTTTTCTGTCGTTTATGTAATAAATTTTCGATTTTTCTCTCTAATTTTGTGTTTTAATAAATTCCACTTCTTTACACGTATTTTTTGAAAAGCTTGTTGCTTTCTTAAATATTAACCGATTTAAATAATTTTTGCACAAAATTTTTCGTAATATATATTTATTTTACATTTACCCCTTTCTGCCAATAATTCAACATTTATCCGCACCTGAAGCTCAAGTGTTACATTACCCCTTTTTCATTTTAAAAAATATATTCTAAAAACAAAACAGAGACACATTGAATAAATATACTGTTATAAATACATTTATAGATAGTTATACTTAACAAGGAAAAATTGGCAGATTTATCCTTAATGTTCAATATTTTTAAGATACCTATGAAATGTAACTATTCGAAAAACCTGTTGCATTTACCCCAGCTTACATTACCTATACTTGTAATGTATGAACTTAAAAATAAATCAATAGCTACCCAATATTTTTTTTATTTTCCTGACCTTTTTTTCGGTGCGCCTATGGAATACAAGTAATAACTAAAAGACGAGGTCATCGGCATCAACTACAAAGGAATTAAATGAGAGATATCATTCTGGTTATTTATTCTTGTTGTATTGGTAGACTAGTGCACTAACTATATTTACATTCCCGTGTTTGACCAAGTGTTCGCTGATATCGGCTCCCATAAGTTCAATATGGAGGTCCATCCTGATCGTTACAAATAGATTGATGAACCACAATAGTATAAAAGTTGATATAACTCCCCAAGTGAGCAGACATACTGCAGCCAAACTCTGTACTCCTAGAAGATACCAGCCACCACCTGTAAGTTTTATTAGGTTAAAAGAATTTGTCGAAAAATTATGGATCAAAATATATTTTTGTAGATGACTGGATATATGATATTTTCTGGTGTAACAAGTAACAAAGTCACATGATTTAAATAGCTATTTGTGTATTAAGAGCAAAAAGTGATACTTTGACGCTTAAGGTAGAAAGTTGCAACGAACTTTTCGCTCAAAATGCACACAATATTTTTTCTACGATCATCATTTTTTAAGAAATAGATATAAAAACTAAAAATGTGTCGTAAGTAGTGTATAATGTGTTGCCTATACCTACGTTAATCATGAAAAAGCAGTTGATATTCAAGGTCCATGTTAACTTTGATAATATAACAAATATAACTTTGTACCGTCGTTCGGGGTGAAGTCGGACTGTGGGGGCGAACTCGTTGAGAACTGTATTGGTCAATGTTTTTTTTAAGCGCCTGTACCGCGCCGCTTAAAACTTAAACGGCATATTGCATATTCTCGTCTGAACAAGTCTGAATGCTGTTGGGGTATATATACGTTTTCCTTAGAATTTGATAATTCGAAAAGAAACTATTGTACATAGGGGAATATTAAATATAAAAACAAAATGAGTTATTCTTTATCATGTGGTTTATCCTTAGTAAACGAAAGTAAATTTTTTTATGTTTTTTCTTAAATACTGGGGGAAGTGTTACTCCCTTACCAACAGGGGAGGAAACCATCATTACCAAAGAAGGGACCGGTGAGACAGCCTGCCCTACAAGTAATGTCCATCAGAATGTCGACATTCCTGAAGACATACTCATTGTCTTAGGAGACAAACCAAAAAATGGATACCAAACTAGATTAGTAATTCACAAAGAAATTGCAGAAAGAGGAGAAACTTACCTTGAGAAGAGAACAAAAACAAAAATTAATAGACACGCACTTGCCTCCGTTAAATTGTCCTCTGTTAAAACCACCTACCTTAAATGCTGAAATTGAAGCTGCCTTGAAGAGCCCCCTAGTAAAACAGGATACATTTTTGGGCCAAATACAAAAATTCCTACCTCCACTAATAGATTCTGTGAAGTCAATAGCAAGTGTCTATCAATCAATTTCAATGCACAGACGATATCTGATAATGCCATCCTATAATGAGAGCTATCGTAAAATAGTTCAAGACTCTCCCATAGACGAACACCTGTTTGGGGCTAATCTCCAGTAGAATTTAAAAATATCAAAGGCAGTTAAGAGAATAGGACAAGAATTGAGCATGCAAGTGGCTAAGGAAAAACGCATTTATGGACCTTTAGGTTACCAAAATCCACAGCCATCAACATCCAAGCAGCATAAAAATTTTCAGAAACCAGCCTCGACATACAAAAATTGATTCCGATCCAATCATAAAACAGAATATCACAAAAAGAAGTAGGAAGAGGAGCAGAAGCGGTGGAAACGTTAACCACCAATTTTAAAAATAGTGAGTGAAAAATATGCAGGAAGTCTGAGAAAACACCTCAAGGCTTGGGAATTTTACATCTCCGGCTCAGTCGTACTAGACTGGATCGGGGGCTATAAAATTACATTTAATCGCAAACCATTTCAAAAGTTTGTCCCTTCCCCCAAAATAAATTCCTATGAAATGAGCCAATTTACACAGGCTATACATGAGTTACAAAACGTGGGCGCTATAGAAAAATGCTAGCACGAATCTGGCGAATTCATTTCATCTCTCTGACACAAAGATTTGCCTGAATGTTTCATAACACAATATGGGGCTGTTTAGTTAAAAATAATGCAAGAAGCTTTTTAACATTCATATCTTCCGGGAGGTATACTCTGTTAGAGTCCTTCAAGCTGTAGTGCGCTTTTCGTCCCTTTAAGGAGCCAAAAAACTGCAATAATAACTTACGGGTTTGTTGAGACATCTTATGAGGTCTATTGGTATGCTTTCCCCTTGTATCAATCGGCGGCTCGCCCAGTTGTTCTTAAAGATGTTTTGATTGTATGTAATCGAAAGGCTTTAATTCCAAAAAGTGAATGAAATGCTTTAAAACATACTGGCGCCTCTTCTGTTCTGCCATTCCTAATAACTCTTACTTTGTAGCTGTAGGAGCTTTCATTCAATCTAGCATCTTCTTCATTTTGCCTTAGCCTTCGTCGAAAAACAGGTCGTAATGAGATAAGGCCAAATAAGTAACTATTTTTGGCATCATGACTATTCGCACGTCCAATATTTTTAAATTGTCTTATTAACTCACTTTGTTCGGCGACAGAAATATTCTCAAAACACCTATATCGCTTGCATTGGCAGCTTCTTCCGGTTTCAAACGTCGAGGCCCTTAGCTTCTTAGCAACATCTCTAAGGCGGCTATATTTTTGACGCTTTTTCGTTGACTTTTCTGTATTAACACTTATATTTTCGTCACTGTCCGATATTTTAAACAATCTTACGTGTTGAAACAACAGCTGAAGGCTGAAGCGTAGCCGACTAGATAATGCAGAATTTTGGCTTCTCGATAGTGGGAGATACTACACATTTTATTATTTTATGAACTGTGTTGGTTATTCTCATGTTTCAGGTGGACTATGTTAGTTTTTCCCCTGCAGTATATATTTATAACCTTGAATATCTCATGACTCCGTTTGTTGTTCCCCTTGATGATTTCCCATAGTAAAATACACGGCGGAAATAATGTATTGAAATGCTTATCTCATTTTTTCATTTTTGGACTCCGTTGGTTTTTGCCCTGTACCCTTCAATTGTTATTAACCAAAAGCGACAAAAATCATCCTAATTCGCCCCGATTGACGATACAAATAACTTTAAAATCATTTATTAAAGAAAAATATTATTATATTATAGTTAATTTAAATTAGGCAAGAAAAAAAGTTGGCAACTTTGTCTCTCGGCAATGCTCGGCAAGAGACAAAGCTGTCACTTGCGGAAAACATCAACTTTGCGATTGGATTTCAAAGCGCAAAAGCCTACTTTGGATAATCGTAGAAAAAATAGATTCTTGCACGCACGCTTACCCTTAGTTAATCCAGTTCTGCCATTAGTTGTGTCAAGCGGTATTGGATTATCAGCGAAAATTCCTACCGCCAGTACACCTAAAATCATAAAGATACAATTATTATGTGATATAAATTCACTAATGCTCATTAGTAATAAAAATATTTTACCTGATAATGACAATTTACAGATGCAGTCATTATATCAATCATTAAAATCCAAAATTACTATTTAATAATCTAATTTATAAATTTTTTAGTTTTATCTATAAACAATGAAAAATCTCAAACAATTCTTGAAGAGAGACGAAGTGACATGAATGATGAAGTCAAATTATAAATAAAATTGCAGGAAAATCAATTTTAACCCTTTCAATACGACTTTTTTTTAGAAAAAAATATTTTTATTTTACTATTGGGACAAATATGTCCCAAAGGTGTAACGTATTTTAAATTACGACTTTAATATTTATTGGTTTTAAGTAATAAGTAATTTTAACTGTTTTAAAACCCAATAAATAAAACGTTTTTTATTATTTTCACTCTTTATTCAAATAAAATACAAAAATATTGTCAGTGGGACACATATGTCCCAATGGTATATTAAACTGGGACCAATACGTCCCTTTAGGAATAAAAATGATGTGCAACTTAAATAGAACCTTCAGAAAAAAAATAACATAACAACATTATTTACGTGTGAATAGCCTGGAAACAGTCATTGCATATTGGAAGATTACATCCTCAACACATAGTTTTCGTTCTTTTTTCAACTTTTCGTGATGTACATGAATGGCACCTGCGTCTAGTTTTTCCTTAATAAGGCAACTGATCTCCTACATTCACCCTATTTCTTGAGAAAGTTGAAGGTCTACCTGTACAACGTTTTCTAACTTGCCCTGCCTTTTGTCTTCCTATATTTATTAGGCCCTCAGCCAGATTAACCAAAAACGCAATAAATGGAACGTCACGTTTGTGAGATTCTTTGAATAATATCCAAGCATTTGTGGCGGACGTTAACAAAAGCTTGTAAAATGTTTTTCTCCACCATTTTTGAGATTTTCGATCGATATCATCGATAGTTGATCTGAAAGATCCACGCCACCCATAAACTTATTGTATGCCTTTATTGCTGCAGGACAGTGAATGTCAGTTCTGGTTCCGTCTTTTTGACGTACAGTACAGATCCTACTTCATCGTTGTGACAGAAAGGACAATAACTAGAATCTTTCCATAGATGTGCAATAACACCTTGGTTGCTGAATAATGTTTGGCATTCACCTTTATTCATTTTCTTTTTTTCAAATTTTGGCATGTTTTTTCTGTTTGACATACACGTGTCGACAGCAGCAAATGACAAATTTGTTATCAGAGGGACTGTGGTAAAAAATCAATAAAAGCACAACATAACATTTGCGACCCTTATGGAACTACCTAATTTGCTCACGACTCTTTCACCTAATGTACCGTTTTCCTTTTCATCTTCCCTTCCACTATATATGTTCACATCTTTCCCAAATTTGTATTCCTCTTTTGATGGGTTTTAGAGGGAAGTATTGTTTGAGTGCTGAGCGACCTTTAAATTTTACCATAGACTCATCTATACTTTGAAAAGTACTGTCAGATCGAGCTTTTATAAATGTATATTTGAGGCATGATACTACTTCGGAGATGCAGTATAGTTTTCCTGAATTTTCTGGTCGAGCAGGATAATTATAGTATATCTTAGATGTCATAAGGAAGAATCGATCTTTGGAAATTGCATATTTTATTGCTTCATTTCCGAGCGACTTATTCGATGACCAAAAATTTGATAAAAACGGTACCTTGTTATAAGCCATGATAAGGTAACAGCCAGTTACCAACATCATTTCGTATTAATCTGTAGGTTTAAAGTTTATACCTGCTTTTTATAAACTGCTTTTTGTTTGTTTTTTGTAGAATTTATATCCTTTGGTTGGTGTACTGGGCGATGAACATGAATAAACTTTTTGGAAATATTTTTAAAAAACATTCAAGTTCAGAAGATTTATGAGTGATATCCGAGTGTACCATCGTTGGGGATTTCTTGACTGGTACAGATTTTGAGGTGGTCCAGTGAATATTGGAATACTTACTAGTTTCAGCTTCTGTCTCATGTCCCAGTTCTACTTCGGGTTGTGGTTCCACATCGAGCTCTGGTACTACCTCCGATTCTAGGTTTATAATATTAGGAATTTCGACTTCAGCAAATTTTTCGATGCTGGAGGTACTGGGTAACTCACTGTTATGTATTGGAGAATTCTTTTTGCGTTTTCGTGCAGGTACTTCCAAATCACTTTCAGAAGATGAATTTTCTGGTTCATATTCGGACCCAGAGTCTTGATAAGGCTCTTCAAAATCTGAGTCGTCCTTATATTCGTTTATATGCAAAGCTATGTCTTCAAGCTCTTTAGAGGTTAGAGACCTTTTTCTGAAAATAATAACAAAAACATCAATATTAACCCACGCAATAATTGAGACAACATATTACAGTGGGACATATATGTCCCACCTAGAAAGGGTAGTAAAATTTGACGAAAATATAACTCTTTAGCAGAAAAAAATCTTGCACACTTATAAAAAAACGCATAAACTTACCTTGACATAATGTTAAATCGCAATAAACCACAACTTTAATTAAAAAAAAGGCTAATTAAGAGGAGCACCACAATTGTATGTTTACAAATTGGCAAATATTTATAATAACTAACCTAAAATAGTGAGCTATTGTATACAAAACTATGACATTTCCCTACAGTTTTATGAATTCATTTTTTTAATCATGAAAAACGTAATCTAAAAATCGTTTTTTCACTGGGACATATAGTAACCGTTAGTGTCGAAAGGGTTAAGTACCGATAAGATAAAAGAAAATTAGGTCATAGTAACTAGAATTATTTTAATTTTTACTATATTATACAGTGTGTGCCATTCAGTTAGATCCATATGGGTCTTTTTTAATATTAAAACGTCGTAGGACTTATTTAAATACTTAAAAAATAGCTCATATCAAAGTTGGCTACTGACATTAGTTTTAAGTCAAATTTTAGGAGAATAATTCATGAACGCTTTAAAAAAAAAGTACCGAATTTGACAGATAACTAATGCAGTACCTAGCTAACTTTAGTATGGGCTACTTTAGATTTTTAAAAAGTAGAGGTGAATGCCCTAAACCGTTTTTTTCCAATCGTAATATTAAAAATATCCCATAAGGATCCAACTTTATGGAACACACTGTATATAGGTCAACCAGGAAGGGTTGTAAAAAAATAATCAAAAAACATTCTCAAATCTTTTGGGGCTGAAAGCACTTATTAATGAAATATTCATTTTTAAAAGGTTTCAAGTAATTAAATGAATTTACAGTTTTACCCCAAATGCCTGCAACACCATGAACCGAACTAGCACCAACAGGATCATCTACACCAATCTGTAACAAATAATAGTTATTTATAAGAAAATATCATCAAATTCAGTTTAATATATGTTATTGTTAGAACTGACACTGAATGTTCGATTACTTTCAAAAAGGAATTAAATTCTAAAACAGCGGTTATGATACAAACAGAGATTTAAAAAATTAAATGGCTTAAGATAACAGCACTTATGTGCGACCTAGGAAGCTTTATTTATTTACTAACATTTACAAGGGCATTTTCCTAAAACACTGCTATAGGATGTATCCTCTTTTTTAAGGTTTGATAACAAGCTCAGTTGTACCATATATTTTAGCCAGTATACAACCACCATCGTATAGTGACTTTCTAGCAACATAACACAAGAATGGGTAGTATGAAAATATTAAACACAAGATAAAAAAATAATACTAAAAATATAGGGTGAAAATTTATTATTACCATTTATAGTATACATAAGTGATTAACTAAGAAAAAATTAGAGGAATTTAGAATTTGATTAATAGAAGGTATAAGGATATACAGGGTGTTTCAAAAAGGTATGTCATAAATTCTTCCACAGATAGATTACCAAAAGATAAGTGGATTTGGCTATATTTATCTATATCAAAAACTGGCACCTAACAAAGTTACAGGGTGTTAAACTAACATTCAAAAAAACGATTTTCTATTTTCTAAAAAAAAAAAACGTTTTTTTGAATGTTAGTTTAACACCCTGTAACTTTGTTAGGAGCCAGTTTTTGATATAGGTAAATATAGCCAAATCCACTTATGTTTTGATAATCTATCTGTGGAAGAATGTATGACATACCTTTTTGAAACACCCTGTATACGTATGTATAATAACTATTTTTGTCCTTCGAAATTTTGGCTTTGGTATATAATAACTAAAATGCTAGAAAAACTACAAAACTTAACCACTCCACTGAACTGTTTTGCAAAAAAAGATTGTTATAATAATCATGTTTAAGTTGTAGAAGTTTTACTTACCATATCAAATAGAGGCATCGAGCTACACACTAGAAGAGCACCAACTATCCCAACGACCAGAGCTTCCCAGCCTTGCAACATTAAAAATTTAGATTATAAAACAATTATATGCAACATAACTCAGATTAATCTTCACCTTGTGTATGTTAATAACCAATAATAAAAAGTGATTGTGATTGTGTATACATTCTTAAAAATATATAAATCTTTCAGTGTCAAAGTTGTCCATCTCAATTTTGTTAGCCAGGTATAGTTTAAAATACAAATTGGTAACTTTGGCACTGAGAGATTTAGACATTTTTATGAAGGCAAATTTTAAAATTTGTCAGTTAGACAAGGATGGCACTGAGCCTTATATACAGTACATATTTATATATATTTTTAACTGACTTCAAAAAAGGAGGAGGTTCTCAATTCGTTGCGATATTTTTATAGTACATTTTTATGGAACATATTTATAGTAAATATTTGTAGTAAATATTTAAAGTAAATATTTATAGTAAAGATTTCTAGTAAATATTTATAGTAGGTACATATTTGTAGCACATATAGTATAGTGTACTTACCACAATATAAGAAGCATCCAGCCGTAACCGACACCAATGATCCTAAAATTCCATTAATAATATCAATTGTATCGATTTTTCCTTTTAGCTTGATCATTGTATAAAATATACTAACGGTACCACCACCAAACGTTGAAATCATAGTCATGACTGCTGCTCTGGCGGCATATTCCCATTTCTCTCCACTTAGCTATATCAAAAAGCATTTTTTTCTTTAAACGAATTTTTACTAAAATATGTAACATACTCCATAAGTGCTACCTGAATTAAAAGCTAACCATCCCCACCACAAGACGAACAAACCCATAACAGCATTGACAGGATTTCCCAGAGGAAGAGGTGTGATACCATTATCGTATCTTCCTAGACGAGGTCCTAGCATCACAGCACTTGCAAAAGCTGCACTTCCACCTTGAAATTAAATATGTACCTTTATCACAAACAGCCCATATAAATGTATTGTCATGAATATTAGTCGCATATATCCGAAGATACAACAAAAAGATATTTACCGATTAGATGAACAGCTCCAGATCCAGCAATATCGACAGCACCTAGTTTTCTCAAAAAACCATGCTCTCCCCACATCCAACCAGCAGGAATACAATATATAGCAGTATTTAAAAAACTGAAGATGCAGTAAGCTTTAAAATCACACCTATTTAACAATAAAATAATTTTATTACTTTTTAATTCCAATACAAACCAAGAAAAATGTGTTTTTTACCTTTCTGCCATCGCACCACTAACTATGGTGGTCGCTGTCGTTGCGAAGGACAGCTGGAATAAAAATGCGGCATACATGGCTCCTTTTAAAGGATCTTTCAGCGAAGGATCTACAAAAAAGTCGCCTAGCGCTATAAACCCGTTATTCAGTTCGCTTCTGCCAAAGGATAAAGCGTAACCGAACATCCAGTATGTCAATCCTCCTAAGACAATGTCAACAACATTCTTCATCATTATATTTACTTCGTTCTTAATAGACACGCATCCTGATTCCAGCATACCGAATCCTGATAAAAAAAAAACAAACTAAATAAATCAATCAATTTACCTATTAAGTGCGAAAAGTCACTTTACGCACGTGTTAGATACACTATTTTTTCTACTAGCGTGCGGAAAAAACCCAAAAGTTAACATAAAGAAACATTTATTATTAAATACATATCAACAAATTAATTATTCTTACTATTAATATTGCACGTACAATTTGTAGCATTCTGCAAATTAATTGCAGAGGCTAAAATGTTTTCCAATGAAGTCAGATTTCGGCTTTCCACTGCTTTGTCAGCACTAATTGTTGCAACCGAAAAGAACTTGGCTGGAAGAGGTCATTTTGGAAGGCTTTACTGGTGACAGCTGCTGACTAGTGGAAGGGCCAGCGACAGCGTCATTGAAGTTTAATATTTTATTCGATAGGCCCTTTTGGAAACTTGGTAAGCTTTCTACATAACCTTCTGTGACGCTAGAAGATTTCCATCCTCCGAGGCGTTTAATATTTATTTCTTCTCCGGAATCTGCAAGAATTGTGGCGGCGGAACGTCGGAAACTGTGGCCCGTAAATAATTCAAGATTTGGAAGCTTCAGATAACTTGTTTTCTGATGGCATTTTTTCGAAGGTGTTTATTCCGATACATTGTACAGAGCAAGTTCCTTTCTTATATTTCACGAAAAATCGCTTATGTGGGGTTTCAGGCTTTCTTAAACTCACATACTTTCTGAACAAACTGAACAATTTTCCATTTTCAGCTTCCTCAGAAATCGCAAAGTTTCTGAAAGAGTGGTTTTTTGTGTCTGGGATATATATAAATAAAATATTTCCTCTGTCATCAATATGATCTAAAGACATCTTTGCTAAATCTTCTCGCCTACATGCGCCCGCCAAACCAAAAATCGTAGCGACTTTTATATGAATATAAATTTTTATGATTTATAAACTTAAAAATTTCTTCTTTTGAGAAAATGTTTGCGTTTTTTGGTCTAAATCCAATGTTTTGTTTTTTTTTTTTTATATATGCCGTGACCTTGAAAAACTTGCTTAAATGGACGTCTTTTTTGAGTATAATTACACTTTTTAACATTGAGTACCTGGACCAAAGAGTGTTTTGAAAATTTCATCGAAATAAACCAAAAAAACATCTTCTTTAAAAGTTTTAGTTCCCTTATTCTGGCACCAGTTTTCAAACAAAATATATTTATTTTCATACCTATAACGGGATGTTGATGGTAGTAGATCCAAGTTTGCAGTTCTAGCCGCTTCCAAAACTGACTTCGTCTGAAGAATCAATAAAAAATTATCTTCTAGTGTGACGAAGTCACTAAATTTTGCTCTCAATTAATTTTAAAAATGTATATTTTAATTAATTCCCGCCTGAGGACATGTAGAAGATCCCCGTATTTCTGTTTCCCAGGAATTCCCGTTTTTCAACAATTGCGAGTACCTTCGTAGGTTAAAATATTTCTATATTTGCCGAAATCCGAATGGGCATTTTGTAGAGGCGATTTCGTATCAATTATCTACTTGTATTTGTCAAGGTACTAGAAGGACTTCTTTTTATTTTTAAAATATAAACAGCCGGCTGTAGTGGGGTTATTCCCCACTCCGGCTTACTGGTCTTCAAGCTTGCCCAGGGAAAAAGCATAAAGTCGATTACAACTGATAATTGATCTCTTTGATTTGCGGCCACCGTGGGCTGTAAGCTCTTCTCTCTTCTATTACCGACGAGTGACGAATCCAGTTAGTGACCGCGTTATTGTTAGCCTGCTGAATAACCCCGTTTATTTTTCTAAGGTACGAAACCGAATATTATTTTTTATTTACAATTAATTTGAGACACCCGTCCGATAAGTGAAAGAATTTTGATTCATGCCCAGTATTTTTTATTTCATGTAAGTTTCTTTTTATTTTATTTATTCATTCAATTATATTTGAATCATTTCGTTTTCCATCACCAACTAATTATTGAACGAAGCCCGACGTTTTTTTCTATGGCAAGTCTCAATAATAATTTTTTTTAACCATCGCATTCTCCGTCCAAATATCGCAGTAAATCATATATTAGACGAAATTGCCAGCGTCGATCGGTCGGAACTAAGATACAGGGGGTTCCGAAAACTTTATTCAAATTAAATTTATTTTCTATTTATATATAGGGCGCATTATAACTTTGACTTCATTTATTTTCTTACATTTTATTACCGTCATATTTAATCAATTTTATTACTAAAAATTAACTTTCCGTATACAGGGAGTTTCACAATTTCCGGACGATTAGGCTCCGGTGCTATCGAACCGCAATTATTTCCTATAGTTTTTTTTTTTTTTTTAGTTTTTAATTGCAATAATTTATTTTTAAAATTAATTTCCCGTATACAGGGAGTTTCACAATTTCCGGACCAATTAGCCTCCTGTGCTATCGAACCGCAATTATTTCCCCTATAGTTTTTTTTTAGATTTCAATTGTAATAATTAAATTTTAAAATTAATTTTCCGTATACAGGAAGTTTCAAAATTTCCGGACCGATTAGCCTCCTGTGCTATCGAACCGCAATTATTTCCCTATAGTTTTTTTTTAGTTTTCAATTGTAATAATTTATTTTTTACAAATTTTCCGAATACAGGGAACCAGAAATATTTAACTAGTTTTCAATTGTAATAATTTATTTTTAATACATTTTCCGAATACAGGGAACCATAAATATTTAACTAGTTTTCAATTGTAATAATTTTTTTTAATCAATTTTCCGTATACAGGGAGCCATGAATATTTACCTAGTTAGCAGTGATCGCCTGGAAATATTTTTAACTCAGCTCAGTTTACCTTGAGTACACTCTGGTGTACTACAGGGTCGAAGAGCAAACTGTGATACCAAAACTGGCGCCTGAGCAACCCCTATTCGGGAATCACCATCTTAGCGCCACACAGACTCCCCGATTAACTGTAGGTGAACCAGAAGCCTGTCACACTAGAAAAAGATGCGACGGTTAAATTGGTTTTGACAAGGTAGTGTTTTGACTGCCAGGTTTATTTTTTCTTTGTTGCTACGGTGATTCAAAGTGACAAAAAAAAAATGTCAGATGTTTATTAATATTTGACATTCATTTGATGAGGTTTATACCAGGGCCATTAAAAAGTTATTGAAACATACGTTTATTTTTATTAAAAATTATAGCAGAATTCTAATAAATTTCTTAAATTTTCAGTCATTTTGTAAACTACAACCATACAAATATATATTTTAAATATTCAAATGTCAGTATACTCCCCAAAAACTTATCAAATTTACTAGTGCGGAAAAAAGTTGTTACCGCACTAATGCGGAAAAGTGACTCTTTCAACACTAAAATGAGTGCGGAAAAGTGGACTTTTCCTCACGCTAGTAGAAAAAATAAGTAAATCAATAACCAAACTGGATCACAAAGTTTTTTACACATGAAATACTTTTCTGTTTAATACTTTTTCTTCCTTCTTCCTACATATTCTTTCATCTACTTCTATTCTATTATTATCTTATATGTATACCTACAATATTAAAAATATATTATCTCAACGGAAAAGATAAATAGAAGAACCAAAAAATTAATCTTCTAATTCATAAATTACTACTCGCTTTAGGAAGCAACAAATAAATTGAAGAGGCCAATCACCCAAATTCTCCCATACGAATAAGTGAAGTAAGCTAAACAGAATGCGGATCTATTTTGCAGAAAATTTTCCAATCTAATGAATCAGATATAGAAAATGATCTTTAGGAAACATTAATGCAAGAAGAAGAGCAGATAAAAACCACCAAGTGAACCTTCAGTCATACCTGTGACATATTCATGTACTGCCAAATGATAACACTGACTACCTTTATTCCATCATCTCAACCTCTCAACAAAATAAACAGCGAATTATCCAGGCAATCAATGGATGGCCAAACCATCGTTCACCTACCTTCAGGGCCCCGATTCTCAAATTCACGGGAAAATTTTCCCATGGGTAAAAATTCGACTGCTTATTTTCCAGTGGTATTATAAAACGGTATTCTCCACTAGGTTCGGAATTTTGATTATTCGTATATTTAAAGTATGTCTGGTATTAAATACGAAAATATTGGAAACTGAACAAATAATAATCAAGATATTTCAATACTTTCAAGTTGTTAGGTTGGGAATCATTGATTTTTGTTACGTCAATGATAATAAATAATGTCAATTTTTGATTCTTGTTCTTTCCTCGCGTTAAAAAAATAACTGTGGTGATAGATACAACGATGGATACAAAGCAAAAAATTGTGACTCAAAAAAAAAATGGGGAATCTATTATTGTTTCCATATCTTCAAGTAGATCAGAGGTTGCTTTTATGATAGTCTAAATAATTATATAATTTTGGTTTCATTTGAAGATTCAAAGGGATATCCTGCCTCATTTTTCCACTTAGTCCAAAAATCTCTTGGGGCATTATTTGCTTTTGTTTTTGTCTCTTCTATATGGTTTAATTGGAGAACTAAAATAGCTTCATCCATTTTAAGAAATAAAGTATATTATAAATTATAATATTAATATTTAAATTAACAAGAAAATGATCAATATGACTGGTGACAGCTTAACTTTGAATCTATTACCAATAATCCCATTGAAAATTTGATTTCTTATGCCAAATACCAAGTGTATTTGCTCCTATACTTTTCATAACAAAATATTCCTAGTGGATGTGTCGAGAATACAAAATATGAATTCCCATATGAAAATTATCTTTTTTCCATGGGAAAAAAGTCTAGAATTGAGGCCTAAAAGTAAAAAATATTGGTCTTTCAAAAGTGATATATTTTTACACAAAATGGTTCTGTTTTGTGGAAAAACACAAATAATTCTTACTGAGTTGCGACCAGAATTTCTCAATGCGATCCATGAAGCACATCAAGGCATAGTTTTATGCAAAAAACTTGACCACGGAGCAATTTATTAGCCAGTGATCACCACAGATATCGAAAAATTGGTGTCCAGCTGCCAAATTTGTCAACAAT